TATATTCCACAAGAACTTTGGACTGCCGCCATTTTGTAACGGATGAACCTTTATTGACGCGGTTTCGTGCATAATCAAATGACGTAAATGACGTGCATATCAATTTATGCTTACTTTAAAGATTATGTACCTACTCCTCATGGGCCGTCCCCTGGTGAAGGTCAAAAAATGGTAATGCTTGCAACAAGTAGTTTTCATACATATAAGTTGATGTGAAAAGTTTGAATTTTCTAACAAATTTAGTTAAAAAGATATCAAGCCGTTTCCAGACTTTTTTGTCACCCTTTTATATATGTGTCCGTTAGCGCGATAACTCGAGCAAAAATCATCCGATTTTGATGAAGTTTGGTACAAACATGTAAACCTACGTTTTATTCAAACGAGATTGCGAACCAGCATGATCGGACTATGGGGTTTATGGGGGGTTTTATGGGGTAAAAGTTGGCTTTTCCCATTTTTGACCCTAAAAACTTAAAATTTAGCAATTTCTTTCCAAACCATTTTGTAGAGCTTAAAAAACGAATAATTTAGTATATTGAAGCGTTATTATGCGCCTAATGGTTACAGCAAAAATAAAAAAAACTGTAAATTTAAAATTCCCATGTTTTTCTAATGGAGAATAACTAAACTGTTGTAGTTTGCTTATTTATGAACATATTTTGATCAAATTTGGAAAGTGCATTCATTTTATAATAAACTATTATATTTTACAAGTACTCGTTAAACTAATGTTATTTAAATAGGGAATAAATATGATATTTTTAAGGAGTCAGGCAAATGGAAATTTGCTTAGTCTGCAGGTTTGCTGCGGCGGGGGTATTTAATAATCAAAATATCTTAAACTATACAGTAGTTTAGAGTTTTTTCGTAAACCTCCGCTCGGTGAAGTAGGTACAGTAGACTCCCTCTTATCCGGACTCCTCGGGACCGAGGCCAGTCCGGATAACGGTTTCTCCGGTTAAACCGACGTCCCCAAATCTCATTAAAACGGACCATTTAAATGCATACTGTATACAGTATTTGATTTAAATTTAGGAGGGCATTGTATTTAGACACATGATCACTGGTCTCAACTCTTTCCCACGAGAACAGTCGTTTCAGTACCGCCCACTTCCTGCCGATCTAGTCTGGTTAAACCGATGTGCTGATAAAAATTGTCCGGTTAAAGAGATGTCATTTCCGCCGAGTGTAGTCCGGTTAAACCGATGTCCGGTTAAAAGGTGTCCGGATAAGAGGGAGTCTACTGTAACTTAAAACCTTAATATTTTAAATTGTAATTGACTTAGGCCCTGAATGTTCCTACATTAAAGCTTAAAAAACTAAATTTACAAATAGCAAGTTTTTTCTTGACATTCAAGCAAGAGATAACGTTTTCTTTATTCTTTGAAAATTTATCAATTATTGAGGTCTAGGAGGATTAAACATTAAGGAGAGGGCTTGCGAATAGGAATATACGTGTTGTGGTGAAGCCAGGTTTAGCAGAACACTAGAGGGGCATGCGGAGCCGTAGAGTGGCAAAAAGCTGCAGCTATAACATGGGAGAGATAGGGAAAAACGCGACGTGCGCTGTTTTGAATTAAAATTGCCGCTAAACTAAAACACTTGTGTTATTCAGCGATGGCATTCTTAAAGTAAATTAAATTTCCTATCGAATGGTGTAAATCATGTCTATAAAAACTATTATTTATTATTTACTATTGAAGATCAAAGTTGAATGAATTGCCTTTGACTTTGAACATATGATTACTTAAATTACGATTTTGAAATAAATATGATGTACCACGATTCCTAGAAAAATACCGGTATGGATCATAAACATAAACAAATGACGTTTTTGGCCCGAAAATAATCATTATTTAACATTGCTTAAATGGAACTGCCAAATCATATGTTCAATGCTATTAGTATAGGATTCATTTTGTTTATGTTTATGATCCTTACAATAATCGTGTTACGGTAATCGTGTGATGTACCTATACAAATAATCAATTTATTCGAGTTCCCTAAGAGTTTCTCAAAATAAAAATAATATATTTACGAATATTTAATCGTAGTATAAAAAATAAGAACCGTATTAGGGCTTAACTTTTTTTCATTTTTACGGTTGTTCAACAAGCTTATTAAATTTAGGTTTTAAATAAAAAATGCAATTTGAATTTTGAAATATACCTATATTAAATTAGGATTCCTAATTATTTTCTCAAATTTTTAATCCCATTTTATGCTAGTTTTAAGGCATTTTTGTGCTAGTCAAGTAATTTGAAATAGCCGTAGTCAAGAAAAAATTCAAAGTGGCGTTAGCTTTTATTTCACTCACAGCCGTTCAGATCAAATTACGAATATAAAAAGTAAAACATTTTCTTGCACATTAAATTTTGGATTTTTTAATATCATATTAAGCCATATTTTGAGGGCTTATGTTATGAAATATCAAAAAAACTTTGAGAAAAAAGTGAAATCTTACAGTTCTTGCATTTTCTGAAGCCACAGTGCGTACGTATCATTATTTTATAGTTTTAAAACCTTTTGGATTTCTTTTTATGCAAAAATATGTTCAAATACTTATATTACTTTATGATTTGAGTATTGGATTATGATGGAATAATCAATACTAACACAATATTAGCAGGGCAAAAAATAAAAACATTCATCCCTCAACCGTTATGTTTGATTAAAAACATATTAATACTAATAGGTCATCTTTAAATTTACTATTTGTACATGAATACATTCGTCCTCTTAGTTATAGGTTTCTAATATTGCAATTCTGATTTAAGTTCTTAATTTTGTTCGCACGATGTAGTTTAAAAAAAATCTTTTAATTACATGACTGCTATTTCAGTAACTAAATATCTAATATGACATTATAACGGTCGTAATTGGTTGGTGTGATTCGTTGCTGGTTCGGTAAATTGTTACTATGTATGTTTCTGAATACAATGCCCCCCTCCCACCACGATAAGGCGTGCGGTCGGCTGGCTGGCTTCAACGAAACTCGAGCATGTCCTCTCCTTAATGTTTAATCCTCCTAGATTGAGGTGGGCGTACACTTGCCCCAAAGGAAAAAGTACACTTGCCAAAAACCTGTTTTCACACGGGGTAAGTGTACGCCCATCCCTAACTCCCCAAAATTGACTTTTAGGACTATAACCACGTTAGTTTTAAATTCCCCCTCAGAAAATAAGTAGGATCACAAAATTTCAGTTTGTTATCCTTGTATTTCAACTTTTTGAAATAAATCAAAACAGTTTCCTCAGGCATTTCAGACCTCAGAAGGCTATCATACGCGACATTCCAGAGGTCTGGGCCGAGTATGGAACCTTAGGCAGCACCGGAAGTGACACTCATCGTCCGTGGGCCTTCTGTAGTGTCAAACATGAGGAGGCGGAACCGGAGATAATCCTCTATGATACGCATGAAGTATGCAGGAACGTGGAAGGTGTTCTCCAGAGCATCCAGCATATTGCACCACCTCGCGGAATTAAATGCGTTTCGTACATCGAGTGTTACGAGGAGCACTACCCTACGAGAGTAGTGGTTAAAATCCTCAGCTCTCATCACGTATTGCTTCACCTCCTCAACAGCGTCAACCGTAGATCGCCCCATCCTGAATCCATACTGACGAGGGGACAGGCCCTCCGCAGCGACCACGGCTGAATTCAGCCAGGAACGGATCAACTTCTCGAGGACTTTGCCAGCCGTATCCAACATACACAGAGGTCTGTAAGAGGATGGCAGGTCTGGGTCTCCCTTCCCCTTCCCAACATGCACAAGCCTAGCTGTTTTCCAGCACGAGGGGAAAACTCCTTCGGCTAGGCAGGCGTTGTACATGCGCAAAAGAATCATGGGGTGGAATGTCGGATGGACAGACTTGCTGTTTATTGTAGTGTCCGTTTGCGTAGGTTTTCTGTACACAAAACAACAATCCACAAGACTGCAGCCTTTAGATCCATGCTGTACCGAGCCTATAAGATCCCACTTAGCCAAGCCAATAGGAAGAAAGAACTGTGACACCATTAAGAAGATAGCTCAAGTTAATGGATTTCGAACCAAGACAATAGAGGACATTGCAAGAAAGCTCAATAGACAGAATACACTACACAGCAGAACAACTTTAGAAGAGATAAAAGAGGAAAACACCAGATATGTCACATTTAGCTAAACGGGGACTACAACACAAAGTACTGCTAACAGATTCAAGAAATACGGAGTGTTATAAGACGTATCTTTATTTACTTTCCATACAAGTTTGTAACCCAGGCCCCACGGATTGGAATCGAAAACGTCCCTTAATGTCTCCCAGCAACTGTGTTTACTCCGGTTGATGGCGCGATGAAGAGACCTCCTAGCCACTCTGTAAGCATCCAACTGATGGAGAGCAGTTGTTGGTGCGGCCAAATCCCGCTTAGGCATAAATGGCCATGGGAGTGAGTGAGTACTGAGAAAGTAATAATTGTGACATAAAATATGGAACAGTTTACAATAAAGCCGTGCTATCAGTTTGTCTTGGTTAAAAAGTAGGCATATAGAACATAAATCAGTAATTAATTTACACCAGTGCACTCTGTCAGTGGCCCAAACCAACTACATCCATTTTGATTCTAATACTAGTCACAACTTTAACATGGGTGATATATCTTGTTCTAACAATAGCGGAGTGTGCCACTTTACTGGTTCCTTAGCTTACGGCATTTGCATTCTCACAATTGCCATTGATTAAAAAAAAAAAACATAGGTTTTACGTTATGTTGATACCATGGAGACCAATCAATATTTACTTATACAAGCCTCAACCTCAGAACTTTGAAAGTCAATGGGATAGAGCACTTGGTCAGTATCGAAGCAAGAACAGTCCTAACATATTCTAAAGATAGTCCTAAGGATGGTAGCTTTATTATTGTAAAATATAAGCATAGTTGGTTCAGTTGTTTTTCCGTGATTGAGTAACACACACAAAGACAGACACCATCAGATTTTTTTTACGTAATAGTATTCATTACCTTGGCTTCAATGCAAGAAAACTCTGACTGGAGGCGGACATTCTTAGCAGTTACTTTCTGTGTGAATTCCAGCATCTCTGTCTCTCTCTCACGACAACTGCTCATGTCATGTAGCAGCTCATCATTGCTGGCTCTCAGCTGGGACACTTCTGTCTGTAGACTGCTCACTTTCTCTCTCTCCCTACACATACATATTAGTGTATTACAGTATCTCTCTCTCTCTCTCTCTCTCTCTCTCTCTCTCTCTCTCTCTCACTACAACTGCTCATGTCATGTAGCAGCTCATCATTGCTGGCTCTCAGCTGGGACACTTCTGTCTGTAGACTGCTCACTTTCTCTCTCTCCCTGCACACACATATTAGTGTATAACAGTATCTCTGTCCCTCTCTCACTACAACTGCTCATGTCATGTAGCAGCTCATCATTGCTGGCTCTCAGCTGGGACACTTCTGTCTGTAGACTGCTCACTTTCTCTCTCTCCCTGCACACACATATTAGTGTATAACAGTATCTCTGTCCCTCTCTCACTACAACTGCTCATGTCATGTAGCAGCTCATCATTGCTGGCTCTCAGCTGGGACACTTCTGTCTGTAGACTGCTCACTTTCTCTCTCTCCCTACACATACATATTAGTGTATTACAGTATCTCTCTCTCTCTCTCACTACAACTGCTCATGTCATGTAGCAGCTCATCATTGCTGGCTCTCAGCTGGGACACTTCTGTCTGTAGACTGCTCACTTTCTCTCTCTCCCTGCACACACATATTAGTGTATTACAGTATCTCTCTCTCTCTCTCTCTCACTACAACTGCTCATGTCATGTAGCAGCTCATCATTGCTGGCTCTCAGCTGGGACACTTCTGTCTGTAGACTGCTCACTTTCTCTCTCTCCCTGCACACACATATTAGTGTATAACAGTATCTCTGTCCCTCTCTCACTACAACTGCTCATGTCATGTAGCAGCTCATCATTGCTGGCTCTCAGCTGGGACACTTCTGTCTGTAGACTGCTCACTTTCTCTCTCTCCCTACACATACATATTAGTGTATTACAGTATCTCTCTCTCTCTCTCACTACAACTGCTCATGTCATGTAGCAGCTCATCATTGCTGGCTCTCAGCTGGGACACTTCTGTCTGTAGACTGCTCACTTTCTCTCTCTCCCTACACATACATATTAGTGTATTACAGTATCTCTCTCTCTCTCTCTCTCTCTCTCTCTCTCTCTCTCTCTCTCTCTCTCTCTCTCTCACTACAACTGCTCATGTCATGTAGCAGCTCATCATTGCTGGCTCTCAGCTGGGACACTTCTGTCTGTAGACTGCTCACTTTCTCTCTCTCCCTGCACACACATATTAGTGTATAACAGTATCTCTGTCTCTCTCTCACTACAACTGCTCATGTCATGTAGCAGCTCATCATTGCTGGCTCTCAGCTGGGACACTTCTGTCTGTAGACTGCTCACTTTCTCTCTCTCCCTGCACACACATATTAGTGTATAACAGTATCTCTGTCCCTCTCTCACTACAACTGCTCATGTCATGTAGCAGCTCATCATTGCTGGCTCTCAGCTGGGACACTTCTGTCTGTAGACTGCTCACTTTCTCTCTCTCCCTACACATACATATTAGTGTATTACAGTATCTCTCTCTCTCTCTCTCTCTCTCTCTCTCTCTCTCTCTCTGAGTAACCGCACTAGTTTTTCCCTATTTTGACTATGCTAGTTTATCTTTCTGTGACTTGAATGAAACATTGATTACAAAATTACAAAGAGCGCAAAATGCTTGCATTAGGTTTATTTTTAGGTTAAAGTGGGATGATCATGTCACCCAATATTATCATAGACTGGGTTGGTTAAAGATTAAGGAGAGGATTGAATATGGTATCATATAATAGATTAGCAGATGTACACCAAAGACAGACTCGTTTTGGTAATGTCTTACTTCAATTTCCTATACACCGTACTGTAACATATAATAAATCGTATCATGTTACTTCTATTAGGCTTATGAATGAGTTAGACAATGACATAAGAACTAGTGATAGTTATAATGTATTTAGCAAGAAGTTAAAAAACAAATTGTTAATAAGATATTTAAGTTAGTTAATGATAAAACCAATGTAAATTTGTACCAAGAGTGAAACAAAGTTATGTGTGCAAGTGTGCTTTTAACAAAGGACAATTTTAAGTTTTAGTTAGAACCACAACTGATTTGTAATGTTTGTAAATATTCTGCCTGTCACAGTGGAAGAGTGGACCATAGGTCCAAACTGTGGCAGGAAAAATAAACAAATTATCAAATTATCAAATTATCTCACAACTGCTCATGTCATGTAGCAGCTCATCATTGCTGGCTCTCAGCTGGGACACTTCTGTCTGTAGACTGCTCACTTTCTCTCTCTCCCTACACATACATATTAGTGTATTACAGTATCTCTCTCTCTCTCTCACTACAACTGCTCATGTCATGTAGCAGCTCATCATTGCTGGCTCTCAGCTGGGACACTTCTGTCTGTAGACTGCTCACTTTCTCTCTCTCCCTACACACACATATTAGTGTATTACAGTATCTCTCTCTCTCTCTCTCTCTCTCTCTCTCTCACTACAACTGCTCATGTCATGTAGCAGCTCATCATTGCTGGCTCTCAGCTGGGACACTTCTGTCTGTAGACTGCTCACTTTCTCTCTCTCCCTACACATACATATTAGTGTATTACAGTATCTCTCTCTCTCTCTCTCTCTCACTACAACTGCTCATGTCATGTAGCAGCTCATCATTGCTGGCTCTCAGCTGGGACACTTCTGTCTGTAGACTGCTCACTTTCTCTCTCTCCCTACACACACATATTAGTGTATTACAGTATCTCTGTCTCTCTCTCTCTCTCTCTCTCTCTCTCTCTCTCTCTCTCTCTCTCTCTCTCTCTCTCTCTCTCTCTCTCTCTCTCTCTCTCTCTCTCTCTCTCTCTCCTCCCTCTCTCTCCCTCTCTCTCTCTCTCTCTCTCTCCCTCTCACTACAACTGCTCATGTCATGTAGCAGCTCATCATTGCTGGCTCTCAGCTGGGACACTTCTGTCTGTAGACTGCTCACTTTCTCTCTCTCCCTTCCGGCCTGGCGAGTTGGCGAACGCATGGCCCGGCTCCTAGGAGTCGCAATAGCCCAAACCTTTTCTCCCCTAAGGAGATTAGGCTGTATTTTACAAGCCAAGTTTAAGGGACGTTGGATGGATTTGTACTGTCAACCATAGATTGTTGATAGCTAGGCTGACATCCCGGGTCTTGACCTAAAAATCCTAGGTCTTGACCTGACGTGTGAAACCAAAACCCCCCCCCCCAAAAAAAAAAAAAAAAAAACACACCAAAACAAAAAAAAAACAAAAAACAACAAAGCAAAAACAAAAACTCACAAAACGTTTCACACGAGTCCCGACCTTCACTGCCAGAACGTGCCTGCCTACCCCTGGCTTTGAAGTGGAATCAAGGGAAATCAAGTGGCAGTCTGTTGAACAGAGGTGGTGTGTGAGGGGTCTTTAAAAAACACGAAGGCGGATTGGGTGTCCGGGGACGTCATGGCTTGCCCATGGCAAACGGCCCTAAATCTGAGCTGGTCACCTTTTGTGAACCAGACCTCCCCTTGCATTCTGGTCGGGGTAATGGGGAACGCTAGTGGGGATACCTTCACATGCCAACTCCAGACCTAAGCTTGATGGCAGCCACTGCTGTGAAATTGACAACAGTGGGGGCCACCGTTAGTAAGCAGCCTCGCCACGCTGAAAGCGGTGCTTCAAAATTGTCAGAAATCGGCTCAAGAACCATGGGCATATGCGGGTGCCTGCGACTGTGATAGGTGGGCATCGGTGTCCGAGGAGGTTTGGCCTGATTGGTGAAATGTAGGGCCTCGGTCGATGGACGGCGCAGGAGTGATTGGCGATACTCCTATGAACCGGGGAACACAAAAAAACCATCACTAATGAATTGTATGTAGTTTTTCAGGTTTCAGTTTGATCTACACCAAAGAGAAGTTTTTTGAAAAGATTTTTATATTACATTAATTGCAAATCAAGATGTCGGCTGATCAATTGAGAACATTGAAGGAGGATGAGGCTAGGAGAGAAGAAGCCAGAAAGGCTGAAGAGGACAGGATAGCAGCGGAAAAGGAGTTCCTGGAAAAACATGAGAAGGAGAGGAGGTTGAGTAGCTCCAGGGGGTCCGCGTCTGCGTTAGGAGGAGGCTATCGCTCGGGGACCAGCAGTATGGCGGAGTCGGAGTCCGAGGCGGAGAAGCAAAAGAAGAGGAATAGAAGCCCTGAGGAAAAGGAGAAAGAGAAAAGGAGGAAAGCCAGGAAGACTGAGGATTTGGAATCGGATGAGGAAGAAAAGGTCGAGGATGAAGATGACCCGTTAGTTTGCTTGAGTTTGGTACTGGATAAGATGAAGGGATGGTTCAAACAGCCAACCAACATAAAAATGGTGACAAAGCCTCAGACAGAAAAGTTTGGAAGGTACTTGAACCGGTTCCAGGAAGAGCTGATTAGGGCAAGAGAGGATAGAGTCCGGATTGAAACGAGGTTGGAAGAACGAAGAGAGTTTTTAAAGATCGTGAGCTCCACCATGCGACAGGAAATGGACAATCTGAAGGACAAGGTTGTTCCAGGCGCGGCTGGAGTGAGCTACTCAGCAGTGCTGAAGAAAGATACCCCAATGGTTCCAAGGGTAACTGGAATGAAAGGACCCGTAGTCCAAGCACCGAAACAAATTATAGTGCGGCATGACACCTTGGAGACTGAAGAAGTGACTAAAACCTTGAAAAAGTTAGTACGGCCTTCTGAAATCGGCTTGAAAGTTAAGAGGCTAATAAATATCAAGAATGGTGTGATTATTGAAGCAGAAAATGAGGATGGAGTGCAAAATCTCATGAAGCAAGAGACGTTGAAAGAGGCAGGGTTGAAAGTAGAGCGTCCGGAGAAGAAAAAACCTTTCATCATGATGTATGATGTTAGTGCTAAACTGACGGAAGATGAGGTCAAGGAGGATATTTTCTCCCGAAACATGGGAGAGAGCCAAATTGTTGAGGCGGATTTCAAGCAGGAGTTTGCTGTAAGACATAGGTATAAGGATTTATGATCGACAGGGAAAAGGTGTCATGTTGTGGTGGAATGTTCTGTACGAGTGAGGAACTGGCT